TTAGGCATTAGACCATGCGTTGCACATGTTGCGCCCGCAACTCAATGTGGCAGACAAGCGCCGCACGATAAGTGGCAAGCAATTGAATGGAATTGAATTGGACAGTTGCATAATAGTCTGCTGCTCGGCCAAAGATTGGGCAATTGATAAGATCCGATAGCGCGCAAAATTTCTAATAGATCTGTAGCGTAACATATGGTAAATGGAACTAACCTCGCTTTTACTATATTCGATATAGATTCTCTCTGTTGCTGGGTGGCTGAGTGCTTCGATATATTTTGGTCGGACCGCACAAAACAAATGCAAATGAAGCCGCTGGTTTCGCTTTCAAGATGAATCGCTGGTGCTTGCCGATTGGCAAAACACACACACCACAAACYAGCTACCAACTAGTTCAAAGTTTTATTGCCAGTTTATATACTGGATCACGTCTTTTCTTTTCGTATTTAAAGCACAAAATCTATTGAGTTATGCGTATAAGTTTTGTTTATTTGAACACTTTGCAAACAAATCCACATAATGGTTCGAGTGTGTGTGAGATTTATTTAATAAATTTTTAACATTTATATAACAATCACACAATCATTAACATGCTAATGCTAGTGCAGACAATTTCGTTTTCTATTTTGTTTAAACAATCAGAGTGTTACTTTTCTTTTTGTAGATACGGGTACTCTTTGTTGTTATTGCTAGGTGCGCACGAGATTTGATTGTCGTAATAGAATTGCACGCTTTTGCACTGGTTGCGATGGAAGAACTTGCGGTTAAGCTGCGTTTGAGCTATCTGACGTGTTGTATCCTTTATCGTTCACGTTTATAAATGTTTGGAAAAGCAATTTTATTTTTTCCGTGCACCACGACTTTCACGCTCAGCTGTTCTCATTGAACTAAACTCCCCACGCAATKCCCAACAGCTGTTCGTTCTGTTAACAGCGARCAAATTAACAGTGGCTATTCTATTAACATCTGTTGTTTATAACAGTGTATCGAAAATGTAAGTTGCACGACATCATATTACTATTAATGCTTTCATGAAGTTTTTAAATTAAAAAAATACATATCATCCATGATTGAGAGTTTTGATTATTAAACACCTGATAATAATTTCATATTTTAAAATTTTAGCGTTGCCAGCTCACTGCATAACAGTTGTTTTGTTAGTACTACCACTTGGGTGGTTCATGTCTTTGCTTTTAAAGATTTAAGTTTTAAATTTTACTGTAAAATATTTCAAACTTGACACAATTTTTGAAAGCACACCAATTTTTTGATCTGGTCTGCATAAAAATTTATAAAAGTATTTATTTAATCAAATTAGGGCACATTTCTGTCATTTTGATATTTTGCTTTTGTAGTTCGTTCAGAAGTAGTCGATATTGGCATATCGATAGTTTTGGAGTCCCTAATTGTGATTTGCAATTTCACTTTGCCTACTTCATACGCGCATATTTTTTATACAAAATTAAATTAAATATTCAGAATTTAGCTTAGCTTGGGATATAGCAACAATGTYGAATACGCAAGCGACAGTTACTGCATATTTAGCAGCACAAAAGAAGACAACAAACAAGGATCTCGCTGCTGAATGGACTCTAATTGAGGAGCTGCACAATGAAAAGTAAGCGCTTTTTCTTTTTTTTTTTCTTAGTATAAATTTGATGTTTTTGCAGGTTGTGGAACGAGCTAACGATTAAGCTTGTTACATTTGTGCGCCATGAATCGTTGCAGGACGAGAGTGCTCTTCTGCAGCTGTACCAAAATTTCATCTCCACCTTCGAGACAAAGTAAGTCAAAGCCGCATTTAGTCTATGACAAATATTATATTGAAATATCTT